GTAGGAAGCAGTTTCCTCACCTGCTGCCCGTTTCATCTGCAGGCTTCCACCGGATAGAAACTGAGATTTTTGGGAATTAGAGGAATTAAACAGAGTTTCTACAACAAAAACTATATCAGATGATTCTATAATAGTGATTAGGCTTTATATCTTCTATAAAATATCCATAGAAAGATGAGTGGAGAAAAGTTTAGAAAAATTTCCAGGCTTCTTGTTTAAGTTGCTTGTGTCCTCGCCTGAACTGAAGGAGCTGCAGCAGCATCGCCGCTGCAGCATCGCCGCTGCAGCATCGCCGCTGCAGCATCGCCGCTGCAGCATCGCCGCTGCAGCATCGCCGCAGCGTCGCCGCAGCATCGCCGCAGCGTCGCCGCAGCGTCGCCGTGTTTGTTTCTAACTTAAAATCTGCTAACAATTCAAGGTGGTTTTCTATTTCTGCCTCAGAGCATCAACTCTGTAAAACCTCCAGTGTGATTGAAGGCTGGACCCTCAGTCCTTGTTGAAGTTTACTGAACATACGAGCCGAAACTGAGAATATAACGGCACAAAAAGCAGCCAGAGATCCCTGACAGAACCATTTTCAGGCCTGACTTGCTAGCAGGTAATTGTAGTTTATTTGATGCAGATGGAGAAAACGTCAGCGATGCAGATGCTACTTTTATGCAAATTTGACATTGATGAGAATTTCCTACAGCTCTGCAGTGTGGGAGGTTTGCAGCTTTCTTTTGTGTCATGCATCTCTTATGATATGAGCACAGAGGAGGAGGAAGCGGCATTGTATTAAAACTGGAATATAAGAGAAAAACGCAGGACGAAGGTGTTTCCGGGTGTTCTTCCTCCAACTGCAAAAATAAAACAGAAGCTGCAACTTCCTGCTTTATTTTTATCACAAAGGATCACACATGTTTATGGGGGTGCGTCTGTTAAATCAGTTAAAATGTCTTGAATTTGAGTTGTTGAACCTGAAGAAACCCTGACTTTGCATTGAAAGGTTGTTTAAAGGCTGTTGCTTCCCGGCTTGCTGCGTCGCTGTGACCCGTTGGTGATGTTTCTGTGGCTGAGCCAACATGTTGGGCATGTTGCTGCAGGCAGAGCAACACACAGGCTGCAGATCCTCTGCAGTTCATGTTTGCTCAGCTCTAACTTTGAAGCTGCCCTGAACTCACGTTGGCCATCGCAGGAAGCCCAGAAACCCAGACAGGAACCCAGCAGACCGCAGGCCCGTCGCAGCTGGCGGATCCTCAAAGTCTGGGACGCGTTCTGTTTCTGAGCAACCGGGTCGCACGATCCACCGCGCTCTGCCTGAAGGCTCTGCCCGGACGCAGACGCAGCGGTTCAGGTTGAGGGTTTATCATCTGTAGTGAAATTTAAAATTGACTCTAAAATAGGAGGGATATTTGTAAATTTAACTGGAAAATAATAATTCAGGTTCAGTTGGATCCAAATTCAGGTAAAATCCAATCATTGATGAAAGGAAGACCAGTGAGTTGCTTTTTGCTCTACATGAGAAAGCATGAGGCGACAGTGGGACAGGACAGACTGAACCTTTTAACTCTCATGATCTGGTGCTTTGTGGTGTTCTTAAAATGAACAACAATTATTGATAAAAGTCCAGATTTTATGTTTAATTAAAACCCAGTAGAGTCCAAAATGTTACATTTTCTGTTTTAACTCTTTTTTTTTCTACATCAATAAATGTTGATAGATTTGAATATGAGAATCAATTTAATTATCGTGGACTGCTATGATGCATTAAGTCATGCTAATGAAAAAGTATGTAAACATTGTCAAACTATAATAAATGTCAGATGTGTTTTTACTGTTTCTGCTCCGTTAACCCTTGCTGCTGGCAGAACAACACGGCGACAGGAATGTGCAGAGTTGACCTTTGCTCCCTCTGTGCTGTTGCTTCACACAGAGGAGGAGATGATGATGCGTTTTTACTAAATAATGCTCAATCATTCTGGTTTTTCAGAGCTGTAGGTTTGAAACGCAGCTGCTTGTCTTCGTCTGTTTGTCTTTCGGTTTGACGTGTTTCAGACAGGAAATGAATGATTGGAATGCGTTCTGGTCCGACTGGTTCCCTGAGGTGTCATTCCTTCCTCACTGAGCAGGCAGGTGTCATGTGAATGTGCAGCAGCATAAACACACCTGACATCCATTCAGCTGATTCACAACAAGCCTTTCTGCCCCGTCGTTTCTGTTGATGTGAAAGCTTCCGACTTGTGGCGTCGCTGTCGAGTTTGCTTCTTCTTATTCATAGAACGGCTCAGAGGCGACGCACTGCCACATGTCCGCTGGCAATTCATCTACAGTGCAATAAATGCATAACGACTGGCACCAGGAGCAGCTGCAGAGCATGGACAGGTCAGAGCTGGCTTCAGTTAAAGGTACATGCCAGACCTGCTGGTTTTATAATGTTAGATTTTCACAGAGTCAGCATTTACAAAGTTAACAGAAACCGTTTTAGTTGTTTGCTGTGATGAACTCTGGTCAGGTTTACACTGCAAAACAAAAGATGTAGAGAAGCTTGTTATAGATCATCATTTCTTAATATCGATTATTCAGTACAAGAACAAATTTCCCGAAAACTGAAAAAGAGCTGAAACACTGAGTTTCTGTGAATCAAGACTAAAACCCAGCTGGTTAGAGCTGCTTTTGAACAATAATAACTGGAATATTGACCAACATAATGTAATGTGCCACTGGTTTCTCTAAATAGTGACTGCTGTTTTTATGAGTTTTAATTTTTGTAATTTTTATGAAGTAAAACCTTTCCAGCTGCCTTGCTGCTGAAATTGTGCTATAAAATAAACCTAATTAATTGATACTTTCACTAGCAGAATGTCTTCATAATGTCTTGCTATAAGTGAAAAAGTATTTCTGAAAAAGTTATGTGTAAGTTAGTTTGTCTTCAGTGTATTTAGTATTTCAGTATTTAGATAAAAACTACCTGATCAGACTTTGTGTTTTTGCAGTGCAGAACTGTTTGTCAGGCAAACATTAGTTTTCTGTTCTCTGGCATTGATCCGTCTGATTGGGTCTCAAGTTAAATATTTTTGCTCATTTCATCGAAAGTCCACTTTTAATGTCCTGTTGGGTCTAAAATCCGCCGGCAGGTGGAACATCTGTCATCACATCAGTTGGATCATTTTGTGTCTGCAGCTCCTGACCCGTGTTGGTTGTTGTGAAAGTTTCCTAAGTGGTGTGTGTGTGTGTGTGTGTGTGTGTGTGTGTGTGTGTGTGTGTGTGTGTGTGTGTGTGCGTGCGTGCGTGCGTGCGCGCGTGCGTGCGTGCGTGCGTGCGTGTGTGTGTGTGTGCGAGAGAGGGAGGAGTTTAGTGCGTTTCTCTCAGCCTCCCTGCTGGGCTGATTCACTCAGCCTGGAAGATTGCATGGAGCCTAAACTTAGCTTCCCTGTGGGAGCGAACGGCAGCGTCTCCTTACTGAAGCCTGGCTTTGCATCTGTTTGTCCTGCCGGTCTGAAACTCGCGTGAGTGGATTTACTGGGATTCTCTCTTTGAATGTTTCTTTCTCCTCCGTTTGTGTTTGAGCTCGGCTCTGCGTCAGACTTTCCGCTCAGTATCTGGAAAGAAAACAGAAATCTCATGCAGTTTTCTGCTCATATGTTATCTGATAAGTTATGAGACGCTGATACTGTCGATCTTTCGGATAGTAAACAGTCTAAATGTAAACAGTTGTTGGCAGCATGTCAATCACCCAAATTAACGTTATTATCATGATTATAGTTGCTGTGACTGAGTAAAAGTCACCTGTTTGTCTAGAAGAAGGAGAATCTGTACCTGAGATTCCTGTGGAGCCACAACGCCTTAGTTTCAGGTTCTGACACTCCTGGGCTCGGCGCTGGGCTGCCCTGTGGCAGGGTGGGACCCGCTACATGGCTCACACAGGTGTGTCTTTTGTTTTTCTCACCTGCTTCTCTTGCTCACGCAGCTTTCAGCACATATTTTACCAGAAGGAACTGATTGGGCTGCTGGTGGGGAGGAGAGAAGAATCTGAAAAATGTCCTGACTGAGAGGGAATCTCAGAAAGACCTGTCCACCTGCATAGCTCAGGGAAACATCAGTTTTCTGCTGCTCTCTAACTGTTCTCTGTTTTTAATTTTTTTAATGGAGGCATTTTAAATTTTTATGCGAGCCAAATCCGACTGTTTCCCGCAGTCTGAACAGCCCGATTCCGATCTTTTCACCCAAAATCAAATCTGATCTGTTCCACTTTCTCATGTGGAAATAAATCGTGTTCAATGGTTTCCAAAATGTCTGCTGTCTGAACGGTTGTGTCGCATTTTATCCGACTTTTACATCGTTGATGTGAGACATTCGTTATAATTTTGCACCAGAAGAAGTCAGACATCCTAAATAAATGATAAACATAGGCTGAAAATTATAATTATGAAATTATGAAAGTAAATGTGTCTGTGCAGCACATCCAATGACATAAGGGCCTAGTCAATGTCTAGATATAAATCTAATTGAAATGTTGTCACAAGCCTTGAAAACTGAAATTCTGGAAGAAATGTTAGATGTCCACAGCTGGCAGAGATGAACCCTAAAAGGGTTTTCATAGTTTGAAATCATGGAGGCTGGATACAAATGCATGCCACACTTTTCAGATCTATATTCTTCAAAACATTTAGGATCTCAGGATTTTTAAAGTTATAACGTGACAAAGCATGAAAATCTTTAAGAGTCAAGAAGGTTTTCACATTGAAAACAACAAATTGGAAAATGTCACATCAAATTTGTCTTTATAGACTCACTTTCGACACGATAATTTCAGGTCAAAACAGAAAACAAAATGTTTTACTGAACTGAAATCATGTCAAGATGATGCCTGAACCCCTGAAGGTTCCTCTGTAACTTCCTCAGATGCAAGAAAACAAAAGAGGATGTGATCTGTTGCTGCAGATTCATAAAGTAAGACATAAGGAACAAAACCGCTTCTGGCTTTTAAAAATAAAATGATAGCAGCAACACGAACTCAG